GGGGAAAGGGAGGGGATAGAGCCTGCAGAAAGATGTGTATCATCACGGCTGCTGGCTGCAGTATCGTGAAGGAAATGGGATGAACGATGATTTTCAGTGTCAAAGCAGGCCCGGTGAGGACAGGTCATGGCCAAGGCACCAGGATGCAGCTTGCCTCTGTCTCTCTGATGGTCTGGGAAGGCAAAGAGAGACTTTAACTAACCTCTCTGCACTGCAGGAGCCTGGCTCTGGCTGCAGCTACGCCTTCGTGTGGTTTTGGGTTCCCTCACACAGGAACTGTCATCGCGTTTCTCCCTCTGGGGCACTGAGCTTACCCGCTGCAATGTCTTTACTAAGTCCATCCTTTTTAGGAACCGTCCCCTACTAGAGTGATTTGCACACAACCTGTGGTTTGAAGGAGTTTTAACCAACTTGGCCCCCGTAAGACAGGGATGACATCAGGTTGCAGGAAGCAAGCAGCAACGGTATTACAATAGTATCCCTGGCCAAGCAATCTAAACATCAACTTGTTTTATACATTCAAGTGAAAATATGACAGTCCCAAAAGCAGAAAGCAGTGTGCTTTGGGTAGGTGCGTTGTAAATGAAGGGGTAGAGGGATCCAGCTACTACAGGATAAAGAATTAAAATATGGCTGGGCTGACCACTTAGCACCAACAGAAAAACCAAGAAATAAGGTTACTGTGGAACAGGCTTTGAGAGGTTCTTCTCAAAGGAAGTAGTAAAATAAGTTCTGTGCTTTTGTCCTCATTCTTGTCTGCTTATGGTTATTGGCTTTGATATTCTCATGCAAGTTGCTGCACTATCAGGCAGAAAATAACTCGGCAGCAAAACGCTCATGATGTTCAGAGAACGTGTTGGTCTGGGGTAAAAGCAGGGCTGTGCAGGGGGATGGAAGTGCTTCACTCAATGCATTCAAGATTTGCTGCAATTTACATGACTTGACCCAACTTTCTTTGTTGGGTGAAATGCTTAGGACTCGTGATAGTCATAGCTCGTTAAATTTTAGCATAGCAGATCACAGTGGGTTTCACTTATCAGATTAACACTCGTCGAGCTGGCTACTGCTGTTAGAGGGTAGCAGAGGGTGATGCTGCGTGAAAGAAGTGCAAGCTCCCGAGATTGCTCTTGAGCTATAGAAAAAGCTGCTCTTAAGAGCACTGTTTTTGTTATCAGTCAGATTCTTCTTGCAGTTTCGACAGATATAAGTAAAAACAGGATGGATGTGTGAAGCAGCAACCCCTCACTCGCCGTGCTGGTCATGAGGATCTTGCACTTTAACTTGAAGTTAAAGGTTGGAGCACAGGATTGATGATGCGATAAATACTGAAAAAGTTCTCTCTTGTATTTCAGGCTGCCAAGTCAACATCAGATGGTATCCTTCGACTAGATCTGGATATAGTAGACAACGGACCACCAAACTTTGATTCCGCTATCAGCGGAAGTGACAATGTGCCACCTCAGAAAGAAACTGCAAAGCCACCTATGCCACCTACGAAACCCACTGGCACAAAAGAAAACCAAGACACAGAGAACAATGTTCCTGACCAGGAACATAAAAAACCTCTGTCTCCTCCGTTGCCTCCGGATAAGAAGCTAAAGGAAGGCATAACATCAAAGGATAATGTAAATGCCAAGGAAGAGGACTCTGTAAGCCCAGAGGAGAATGTGGAAGGATCCCAAGCACCAAGTGAGGAGAACAGAGAGAACCTCACTGAGGTCAGCAACAAGGGCATAGCAAAAGCTCCAATTCCTCCTCCTAAGAGCATGCCAGACAAGCTAAAAGTAGCTTGGGACCAACCAGTCCTTGAGCTTAAAAACACAGAAGACTTGAAATCGTCAGAAGATAGTAGCAAAGACAACCTTGCTGAGATTGCTGCTGCAGATGTTACAAAGCCTCTTGTTCCTCCTAAGGTTCAGTCAGAAAAAATGCTAGCCACAATGAACTCCAGCCATGGTGACCTGGAAGCTGGGGGCTGGGAAGACCTGGAGCCTGGCAGCTCCAAGCCCTCGGTGAATGGGATCGCAGCCAGCGAGGTAGCAGAGTTCACATCCTCAACAGTTGAAACTGAAGAAGGAAATGGGAGAGCTTCTGCTGAGAAGGAACAGAAAACTTCAGCAGAAGAGACAGAGACTTCCTTAGCTACAGAAACAGGCCACGAGAGTGTAAAAGCAACTACTGAGAAGAAAGAGTCTATACAAAGCACTTCAGGTTTCAAACTTCGCAGTTCTTCTCTGGGAGACTTGCTGTCTGATTCCAAAAATACACAGAGAGCACTTCCAGGCCAAGGTTTCCCAAAGGATTCCCATCAACGCTTAGCTAAAATGGAGGAGAAAGTTGCTAATGAAAGGGAAAAGACAGAAAAACTTCTGCAGAAGGTTTTACGTGAAGGGCTGGAACAGGCCCAGGAGGGGAACGGACCCCCAGTGATGGCAGAGACATTGCTCAATGAGGCAGTAGAACAACTTCGGCAAGCTACACAAGTTTTGCAAGAAATTAAAGGTCTTGAAGAACTGAAAAAAGAAGCAACACAGAAACAGAAAGAAAAGCAAAAGGATATAGTGACTCTTTATAGGAGAAGTGCTCCTTGATGTACTCTTCAGAGAGACTTATTTCTCTAAATCAAAGCTAAATGTTTGCCATTTATGATTTGTACCATTGCTAGGCCAGTGTTTAAAAGGTGGTGTTTTGCTGTGCACACACCATGTTTATGGGACAGAATTGAGCTTTCAGTTATAGCATCTTTCCCTCTTTCTTCGTACCAGTCCAGTTCTAATCCTCTTAGCACAGCAGAAGGTTACAGGACATTGAACAGTTTCAAAAATGTGAATGCTCTTTAAGGACTCTGTCCAAAGTCCTTTCAATAGATCAGGCCTTAAAAATTACTGGTAATCAAACCAAGCCAGATTTTTGAAAGGAGCAGGATGGCTATTCTAGCAAAAGCCCCAGTTTATCTGTATTTACAGACAAGCAGATACCAGATTACACTGGCACCTATCTGGTTTTCCCAGTTAAATAATTTAAGGATAAATGTAGTCAGTGTTTGTTCACTTGCTGGCAAGGTTTCCTAGACCACCTGGCCCAGTGACGTCCAGGAATGTAAAGATAAATGGTTTAATCTTCTCCAAAAATACTCATAAAACCACATCCACAGTTAAAAAGTGACCTCACACAGAGGCAAACAAAACCGGCCAACTCCTGACTACAAGTAGTGTCCTCGGATCTGGAGCAGCTGTATGAAGGCTCTCGTCTGAGTACGGCTGAGGAGAGCTTTAGCTGTGCTGAGCACTGCGTAAGTGAACGAAGTCTCAATGCATCATTGCCAGGCAAGTGTTAATTGTTCCTGCTTCATTAGCAGGGAAATTGAGGCAAAGAGCAGGTTACGCTTGGCCTTTGAAGGACTGTCTTCTAGCAGCACAACGCGTTTATTATTGAGGACCATGCCTATTTGGTAACTCTGAATCCCCCCATCATCGTTGGGAACAATTAGGCAGGCATTTGGAGGACACGTGTCCAGGAGATCTCTAGGAGTTTCCTGGGAGAGCTGTCATTAAGAAGCTTTAGGGATGTGTGTTCCCTCAGCTGTAGGCTCGCTCTCTGTGTTGTCTTGGGATGTTAACTGACAGGAGCATGCACATCAGGCAGCGGGTTGGGATGAGATCCCTCTTCCTGTTTAACACATCCCTACCTGCTATGTCCTGGCTAGCCTGAGAGCCACGGGTTGGCACAGACATCTGTAATTGGAGTACATGGAGGAAAAGGCATTTTGCACGCACAACTTTGGGGCTGGTCCCAGTGACTGAAGTATATTAAAATAAAAATGCATTACTACAGAAGGGTCTGAGGAAGGCATTGCAGAAGGCTCCGGCACAATTCCCACAGCTTCCCTGCCCACCTGCTGAAAGCAGCCACAGTTCCCGTGGTCTTTAGTGATTACAGCTGTGATAAAATCACGTCTTTGCACCGCTGCTGTATAGCCCCGTACCCGAGCCTGGTCCCCTCCCCTGTTCTCTATAGTCGCTCTGAGGAAAATCGTATGACGGCCCAAATGACTTCTCCTTTGCTTGAGCCAGACTCTGGAAGCATGGAAAAGGGCAATCTTCCCTGTTGGGTTTTAAGGAGTGACATGCTACCTAGGCTCGTTTCTGTCATTTGCCTGCACTGCCCTCTTAGCTCACCCATTTCTTTTTCTTCTGTTCGTTCTTTTATAATTTCCCAGGTTCCACAAGGCTGCAATGGGCTGCAAACACCCCCAAGAGCAGCAACCCAGTAAAGCTTCATCTGAGCCTTTTCTTAGGCTAGGCAGGGGGCACTTCAGGTCTGAGCACAGAAATGTTAGCTTTGGGCTTCCAAATATCCTGGGGTTTTTGCCACCCAGAGCCAGCAAGACAAGTAGTGACTAGAACTGATGCTTCTGCCTCTTTTGATTAAACCAGCCTTGGTTTCAGTGGTCTGTCCCCCTCTCAAGACAGCCGTAGACATCGTATGGGAATTCACTTGTTAGTCTCTCACGTGGAAAGTTCTACGCAGTCAAACACTCAGGGCTCAGGTGCCAAAAAGCTTTGCTTTGAGACAAAAAGTTTCCTACGTCCTAAGCCCACTCCCAGGCACGCAGCCTGGAGGAAACTCTGGATCTGTGTCATTTGCTGCTGTAGATTCAATGTGAACCATGGGTCTTATTCACCTTTCCAGACATACTTAGGACAAGGGCTAATAACACAGACAATATTCAGTGCCTCTCTGCTACCTAAATGTATTTTTTCTGCATGTGCACTTTTGTTTACCGAACACTGTGTGGTATGAATGTGAGCTGTCAGAACCTGGTGTGGACTGGAAGTCGAGGGACATCAGCTTCAGAGAGCAGGCAGGCTTTTGCAAGATGCAGTTCTATAATGAGATAAATTAGATGGGGGGGGGGAAACCCAGTTCACACTAACAGGAATATACACAAACGAGGGCAAACTCTGGGTACAGGTTCATATCCCAAAGCTGAAACCAGTCCTAAACTCCAGGGTGGGCAAATCAAAGCCTGGAACTGAAAGCCCAGGAAAATGAAAACAGCTTATGGGATAGCTCAGACCCTAATTTATATACAAATGCTTTTGCTCTCACAGGTGTTTTCTTGTGGCGGTGTGCTCTATGGATACCCGTCTGGCAAAGCGCTGATGAAAATACCCAGACATCCCTATCTGTTACAGCCAAACCTCCAGGATGTGCTTATATTTACTGTATATTTTTATATTATACTGAATATTCTAATGAATAAATGTCTGACATTTTACTGAACACCCACCAGTAGGAATCTTAACAGATAAAAAACCCTATATCTATTAAGAAATGGGCAAGTTAAATAATTTTACAATCTACAGCTAATTACTGTATTTGCTGTACTAACAGAACTTACTAGATTTGTATTATGTCTTGTAAATAGGTGTAAATTAAGTGGAATCTCCATAGCACCCAGTAACTCTACTGCTGAAAACGCTATGTTAGAGACTCTTTGGTTTTAACTATTTTTTCCTAATAGGGTTAGCAGTTTTATCCTAAAATGTCTAGCCCAGCCGTAAGCCTGATTCACCAGGACTTTGCAGGAAAACAACGCATCGTGTTCCTTCTGCAGTTTTCCCACTCGTTCTTCTCATTCTGGTCATGAGACAGGCCCTGCCTAGGGCTGGCAACTGCCTTTTTGGGGTGTTTTTACGTGCTCCTCTGAAAATGGCAGTGCTGGTCAGAGTCAGAGCCAGGATCCTGGTCTGCTCTGGTCTTATACAGCAACTCCCGTCTTCAGCGTACATCCTGCCACCATGCACTTTTAAAAAAAATCTTCCTTTAAACTTACATTTAAACTTATGTCTAATTTCTGGCTGCACTAAAGCTGGTTTTTTGTGCCTGAAAACCCTCTGGGCATGAAGCGCGGGCATGTGAGTCTGTGTTTTGGGCTGTGCCACCAGATTACACGTCTGGGACAGGAAGGAAGTGAGTTTGCAAGCAAGCAAATGTGGATGACTATCTGAAAAGCAGCTGCTGCAGCCCGTGGAAAGGCAGCACTTTGTCTCCTGCTTGTAAAGAGCTTTGAGATTCGGCAATAAACCCCCCTTTTAAATATCAGCTGTTTAAGAGCCGTTTGTCCTAAACAGGAGCAAAGAAGAGCCACCAGGAGCGGCCCATTGAGGCTTTGCTCTGGAAGAGGGTGCGTTGCACAGGCTGTGGTCAGGCTGGGGTGAGCTAGATGCTGTGCTAACCACAAACCCGGAGGAAGGAGAAGCACTGGGTGCTGTGGGCAGCGCAGAGCTGGAGCTGTGTGGCTCCTGAGTCATCCCTGCCTGCCAGCTTGGCTGCCCTGGCCAGAGAGCACGGCCGAGGCCAGGATCTGTTCCTGCTCCTTCTGGAAAGCAGTGGGAAGCATCCTTGCTCCCTGCAGGCACCTCACCATGTGCAGTCTCCAGCAATGCTGTCTGAACTGCCCTTAACATCTTCAGGTGGACTCTCTATAAAATGCTGAGCTGACTCAGAAGTTGTCCCCTTGGTGCTGAGCAACACCAGAGCCTCTTTCCTCTGCTGAAATGCCAGTAAGCTACCGGAAGACAAGAAGTTGGTATCATAGTGACTGCTTCCCTTCTGCGAAAATTGGGTAGAAACTGGTCAGTAGGTTCAAATGCTACGAGGAAGCAGGGAAAAGAGTGCAAGTATACGTGCCATCTTATTGCACAAGCTTGGCTTCATTTGGGTAAAAAAATGTACTTAGCAAACCCTCTAAGCCCTTGCTGGGAAGCAGGCTGTTCCTCAAAGGAATCTCCAAGACACAGGGTTGATTTCTACAGATACACCATAGAGAAAGGCACTCTCTTCCCCTCGCACTAAAAAAACAGACAACGCTTCATATTTTGGGCTTAAATTGATGTTGTTAAAGAAGGGGAGCATCCAGCACTATGTGAAACACACATAGTATTGGCATATGAAACATTTGCCTGACTGCTTTTAATTCAATGCATAGCCATGGGTTACTAGTTTGAAGAGATTGTTACTGTGTTATTGTGTAATCTGAATTAGAAAATGCAGGTCCTAGGTTCCATCCAGTGATCCCACAGAACTCAATAATTTGCAACTGAAAAAAAGCAGAAAGAGCTCTTCCAGTCCCAGGGTGCCAAAAGACTTACTACAGCATTGGCTAGTCTACTCTGATGACTTCTTATTCTTGCTATTGAAAAATGTGTGTTTTATCTTAAATATGAGTCATCAGCAGTGAAGCTCTCCAAGATTTCCCCTTTCCAGCTTAAGAGTTAGAAAATTTGCAGTCACAGAAGATATCCACTGTGTTTAGAGAATGGAGATCCCGTTTTTGTTATGCTATGCAAGTTCACATACTAGAGAAAGCCAGCGCTTAACTTATTCCAGGAAACTTAGTCACCATGTTCTTCTAGTGCCTTACCTCACAGCTAAGCAACTCACAGTATTCCTGTGACAACTGCCGCCGTGATGTTACAAAGCATTAACAATTTCATTCTCAGCAGCAATTGCGCTGTCTGAGATCAGTGCGAGGTACTTTAAGCCATGTATTTTCCATCCCCTTCTGGGTATCAGAGATGCAGTC